CGTTAAGCCTAACTCAGCTAGACTAGCTCCTAACCAAAAACTTCTTAAGTGAAAAGATCAAAGTTTTACTCGGTCAGTTAGCTAGGTAAGGATAGTACTAGAGGGTGATCATAGATTAATTAAGTACCTTATTCCTTACAGAGCGTTTTACGCAACCCCTAAACCTTGCCTTAGACACCAACTAATCCAAGAAAACTTGAACAGGTTCACTTAGGGATTTCTTGTTTCTTATTGAGCTCGAGTCCTTAGGGGCCAATGTCTAATGAGTTTTAAGAAGGCTTAGGTTTGTGTAGTGAGGAATTAGTGATTTATGGGCTAAGGAAAGGGTAATAAAATCCCTTACCTTATCTTGATTAGGGGGTGTTGCCCTTAAGAATATTTTCAAGTGTGTGCCAAATTAAGATGCTCAAATCACTTTGGTGAATTCCTACTAACTATATGTAATGCAACCCTATGAATTAAAAGAAACTACAAAATGATGATAAAAAGAAAATCTTTTTTTTAATATGGTTAACAATCAAACAAAGTAAGAAGAGAGCTCTTGTTTAAATTTATTATCTTGCTAGTATTTGTTCAAATGGAGGGTGAATTTTTATTATGGTCGACAAAAATAAAATCTTTTTTTTAAGTCCTACTTGTCTCTAATTGTGAAGACTAACTAGAAGGTGGAATTGAAAATACTAGATAGAAGACTTACCTCAAGAAAATCTTTAAATCATCGATCTCCAATTCTTGATCTTCAAGCTCCAAGTGACTCATTCACAAGAAAACACACAAGTTAAAAGAATAAAAATAAATAAAATCTTACTTAAGCACCTTCCCCGGCAATAGCGCCAAAAACTTGACGGGACATAAATATGTTCCAAAAGTTGCAAGTGCACAACCAATCAAATTATAATATAAAGAGTTATCGATCCCACAAGAAAGGTGTTTGTAGGAGAAAATTAGAATCGGTTCGTATGTTGTGTGCGTGACAAAAATAGGAATGATGAAAATTATGATTGTGGAGAGATATGAGGAGTGTTGTGAATATGTACAAAAGTCAATAAATGAGATTTTAGATGATAGAAATAAAGAGTGGATGTGATAAAAGAATAAATAAAATCATAAGGAAAGAAAAATAAAGGAAATAAAAATCACGAAACAAATAAGAGAAAATCAAGAACTAAGGAAAAATCAAGAAAGAAAAGATGGAGGATTCAATTAATAATATGAGAAATCTAGAATTGAATACACTAGCTAATATCAATTATAAAATATGAACTATTTTTTATCACATTTTACTTTAGATTTATTAAGCATAGACTATCAAACTATTTAAGAAAAGTATAACCTATCAAATTATCATCTAAGCAAAATTAATATTCATGAAAAGAACAACAACAAGATAGTAATTCTAGAATTCATAAGCATAACCTATCAAACCATTTAAAATAAGCATAGATTATCAAATTCTTCTTCTATCAATTAGTTCTCTAGTTGATTATCATATACATGATCATTTTAAGCATAAGAGAATAATTCATACAATATAAAGGAAATAAAGCTAATTTTATGTAATTATAAGATTCCTACAAGAATTAGTTCCACATCTTAAGAAATAAAAACAAGGAATGAAATGAAAAGAATAAGAACTAATTACAAAGAAAAGAAATAAGAACAAGGAACTTTACACTATGAACAATAAATAAATCTAACTAAATTACAAAAAAAAATAAAAATCTACATTATGTAAGAAAATAATTATACTCTACAAATTAAAAATGTAAAATAAAATAAAGACAAGAAAATAAATCTACTCTACAAGACTTGAATGTATATCTAAACTAATAAGCAATAAAAAAGAAATTAGTAAAAAGAAATAAGAAATAAAAGAGAAAATTAACAATAAAATAAAAGCAAACCTTCAAATTGATCTTCATCTCCATCATCATCATCAAACAAAAAGAAGAAAATTTAAAGTGGTGAAAAAAAATCTTTTATTGATTGTAACAAAAATTAAAAAATTGGAAGGTCTTCTCAATTTAGAGTAACTCTCCTCTCTAAATGGAGTTACAAAATTTTTTACACATTTAACCCCTTACTCTCTACCCCTATTTATAGTAAACATCAATGAATATGAGCCAAGGATCGAATTCTTATCCAAAACCCTTGATTTTCAGCCTTTGATTCATAACAGAATCGTCAGCATCGATGCTGGCATCGATGCCGCCATTGATGCTGGCATCGATGCGCAGATTTCTCCAATTGTTGGCCGCAATTTCCTTCTTTCATTGTCTTTGGGCTTGGGTTTTATGGCTCTTGCTTGTGTTCTTCAATTAACTCATGGGCTTTGTTGAGAGATATGATTGTTGGGCTTTATTTTTGATTAACCTACAGAATCGTCAGCATCGATGCTGGCATCGATGCCGCCATTGATGCTGGCATCGATGCGCAGATTTCTCCAATTGTTGGCCGCAATTTCCTTCTTTCATTGTCTTTGGGCTTGGGTTTTATGGCTCTTGCTTGTGTTCTTCAATTAACTCATGGGCTTTGTTGAGAGATATGATTGTTGGGCTTTATTTTTGATTAACCTACAATTAAAGATAAAATTAATTATTGGTGATATATTCATTCATATAAAATAGATAATGAGGGTATAAAATTGTAATAAAAATGTGAGTATCAGCTTCCATATGGCGAAGTTGGTGCCGTTAAACTTCGGGATCTTGACTTAGTTGAACTGCTTCTAAACATGTCATACAACATGTTACTGCTCTCCACAATCCAAAGCAATAGCTCTGATACCGCCTGTTAGAGATTTAGAACGTGTTGCAGATGAAAAGTAAATAGTAACAACAAAAAATAAGCACAAGCCAAGGCACCCATTTTAACATGGTTCAGCAAATTGCTCCATGAGCACAAATCTCTAGTTCTTTCTTATAATCAGAGGGAGTACAAGTACCATAGAGCTTAGAATAAAACAACAATGGCTAGAAGGATAATACTCGAAATGATGCCTTTTCACAACACCGAGGGAGAAACACAATGACTCGTTCTATCGTGAATATCACCAAATACTAGACATTCTCACAACTCCTACACTGAATACAATGCCACACAGTTGCTCTCCAACTCTCTCTCTCTCTTTCTCTTCAATTTATTGCATTGTGTAATTCTCATAGCAAACCTCACTATTTATAGCTTCCTCTTTCTTGGCCTCTAAGAAATATGAACGTATGTCTACCGCAGGATTAATTCACTTGTTCAACAAGTAAATCTCTTAATTTACTCATTGCTATAGTTATTCTACTTGGAGAGCAAGTAGAATCTTCAATCAATCTCTCAATATTTAGGCTAACTAATGAGACATGTATTCAATTACCAACATTCTATTTACATGATTGATGTGTCTTCGAAAGGCACAAATTTTTAAATAGATTTCCAACAAACAAATTGCCAATAGTCACAAGCTAACACACTTATCTGCTTATCTGTTGGAGTTTTATTTTTTTAAATTTTAATGGTTTAAGTCTTGTTCTAGTTATCAAATTCTAATACTCATTAAATGTTTTTAAACACTAAAAAGATGCTCAAATATCGTAGGATTATTTAGTTTTTACAAACAAAAAAAAATTATGTAAAAACTGTCAACATAAAATAAAATTTATCAAATCAATGCCTTCCAATGTGTTTGGCATATCTTAAAATCTATGCTCAGTACTCTAGTGACACCAAAACTGACTCGATTATCCACTAATCTAAGTTGAAAACAATGTGTTTGTAAAACTCAGTTCATGGTACAATACACATAATAAAATGGCTTGACAAACAAATTTTAATATCACATTTTTCACATGAAAAATAAATTAGTCACAAGCAAAATATTGTTTCATGCGTTGAGCTGTGTAATTTTTGGATTCTCGTAATTACCAGAGCAAGTGTTTTGTTGGGTGAGTTTGTAGATGAGAGCCATGATCCCTGCGGCATGTACCACCTCCGACATGACGAAAAAGTGATACCGGTTGCGAACGAAAACCTTGAGGGCGATGAAGATGAGGATTGCGGTCACAATCCCTAATGTCACTTTCACTCTCACCGTCTGCCGCCTCAACCAAGCCGCCATTCACGTTCAACTGCTCCTCGCGCTCTTCTGCGATTGCGCATGGCCCTTCAAATATGGTTTATTTTGCATTTGAAATAAATATAAGTTTTACTCGAGTCTTTCTAAATCTCCTCCACCCCCCCCCCCCCCGCCCCCCCCCCCCCTTGTTTTTTTTTACGGAGAACGAATGGAGGAAGGAATACTTTAATGTCCGAATTCAAGTTTCAAGTTTATCTGACTATTTCTGATTTAATTAGGTAACGTTAATTGAGTATGGGCTAAAATTAATACGATTTTCATGAAAAAACACTTAAATAATCACAAACTTGCAAATATTGGTGGTTTATATTAAAAAAATAAAGGTAGTAAGTATCAATTTAGACTAAAATTAAGATGGTTTTCATGTAAAAACCCTTAAAAATTACAAACTTGCAAATGAGTCAAAAAAAATATAACGTATTATCGCAAAACTACACATAAACTAAATGCCATCAAGTTTTACTTATGTTTTCAAAACGTATCATGAATTTTCAAATAAATTCATTATTGTGAGAAAACTGCCATAAACTTTTGAGGTATTACCATAAAGGTACTGTATAGTTTTCTGATGGTATAAAGCACGTTTATTTAGCTTTATGCAAAACCCCTTATAGCTCAGGTGGTTGTCTGAAATTTATCCTTCATCAAATTCACACAAGTGCATTAGTTCACAAGAATGGCATAACTTCCAAAATAAATTACCCAAAGTGAAATAACTGTTCTGCTCAAGGCAATCTTTATCCTCTTTTGCATGCCACTTTGCTTGGTCTCTTGATCTAGCAAATGCTAAAGACATTTAACCACAAGGTTGTCCCATATTACCTTAAAAATTCCAGATAAAAAAGAAATATCTGGGACAATTGGGAAAACCAGGACAAAAATCCAAGAATTGCTGAAAATATATATATTTATTGTTACAAGGACAAAGTCATACAACATACATCTGCAAAGCGTTACTCTCCCGGCCAAAGTTCACTTACGAGTTGACACCCATGAGAGATTTGAAGAAATTTAACAAATAGATACAATTAAAGGAGTTAAATATGCCACATTATGCAACTATTTTATTGTGATCCGGTTAACTTAACGGAGGATAAAGTCTTGGTTGATGTTGCTGTAGCACATTATGTTTTTGTTGTTGTTGTTGGCAATAATAATTATGAGCATGCAATTAAACATGGCCATCCTAACGTGGACGAAGTAATGGTGTTATCTCCTCCAACACTCTATATATATGGACTTTCAAATGATCAGTATCAATAAACTCAAATATGCAGACATCATGTTTCTCCAAATTATGGGCATAAGTGAACTTGCCCCAGCCACCACTGAGAGCACCGTGAGAGTTGTAGCAAATATAAGTCATCTTCCATTGCTTGCCATTTGGATCCGAAACAGTCAGAACTGCGTTCTCCTTTGGAAGATGTTTTCTCACGAACCAGGTAGGAAGGCACTGCATACCAACAAGATAGCCGTTAGATTATAGACTGTAACTCTCAAGTTTCATCACAGTTTTGCAGTTTTTGTGTGGTGGAAAAGACTTTAAGATGATATCAAAGCCGATCATGTTCGAATCTTACAGGCCACATATTTTGAAGCGTACTTCAAGGAAAACAGATACTAGTGCATGACTCTAGGTTTTAGCCCATAAAAAGGGCCCTGAACAGGGAATATTAATTATAAACTATAACTCTCAATCATCACAATCTCAAAGTACTTCAAAAATGATAGACGAGAAGCCTATATACACTGTCTTCTGTTTTGAAAACAGATAATGGAGATAATAAAAGCAATTGATCCTCCACCAACATGGCTAAACTGCACGATGCAAAAAGGATACAATATTAGAGAATAATGAAGTTTCTGATATCTGATCCATATCCTTGGATACAAGCTCTTGTACTCAACTGAGATCTGTATCAGTGTTCATGTATGCTCAATTAAAGAAGATATGGATATGCCTTTCAAAAAAATGAAGAAGTATCACAAAGAAGTACTATGATTAATATCCAAGAGGTCATGCAACAAGTTCTCTTCATGAAACGTTCCCAAAGAAGTATTCTAATCTCGCATCAACAGCTCAGGAGCCGCCCTCAGACCAAGACTTGGAGGTCAGGTAACTTGCGTTTCTTTGAAGATGTCTCGAGCTCTACATATGTGGGTATTATTTTTTTGGGTTAATTGCACATAGACCCCCTGTAATATCACTGTCTTCAACATACTTACCCGTGTAGTTTCATTGTTGCAGATAGACACCCTTGGTTAGATTATTCACTCTTTTACCCCCTGATGAATTCTGACAGATAAGCTCAAGACAGTGATACTACTGGGGTCTATGTGCAATTACCGTTATTTTTTTATTTGGCTAAGAAGATTATAAAATTGTAGCAGTGGGAAGAAGTCCAATGCAAATTGTAGCAGTGGCAAGAAGTCCAGTGCTAAACCAGGCATACTTGGAAGAATGCTAGTTCATGGTACTGAAAAGATATCAAAGCCTCTAGTGATGCGAAGAGACTGCAGATATCACCAAGAAAATGAAGTTTCATGAGAGTAAGATGTTAACATGAGCTAAGTTATGAAGTAAACAACACAATTTGACTATTTAAATGAGTTCAACACAAGAAGTACTTCCCTCAAGAGTATGTCTCTATCCAAACAGCTGCATGACTTTGTCGATTTAAAGGTTACAATTTCTGCTTCTTACCAGACTGAAATATCTTTTAGTTTTTCCCTTGTTCAGTATTGGACATCTCTAGTGTTGGCAATAAGTGAAATCATGATTATGTCCAGAGTAAACTAAGATGTAGTTCTAAATAGATAGAAAACGTGTACACTTTTAAACATGCAAAGAAGAAACAAATCACATGTACAGGAAAGAAGAACAAGTTAAGTGTAGATAAATCATTGAAATTAATATTTACAAGGCAATATTTGAAAGTGTGATGCAATTCCTATGGAGGAGATAAGAGCAAATCCTAGCAATCACTTTCACATTCAAACAGGTACAAATAATATAAAATAGCAGGATTCTAAATGTTGAAAATTTTACCATGAAAAAACTAGTGTAAACGTAGGAGTCCTGCATAACTGACACTGCAAATGGATGCTCAGATTGGAACTTCAAAGCCCTTTGAAGCGCCCTTTCCACTTCCTCAGTTGTGACAGGTCGTCGTTGCGATATGAGAGCTCTCATCCTATAAACAGCTGCCAGCAAAAGAACACTTTGAACAAAAACACCCATAGATCAAGAGGTATTAAGATTTTGTAAATAAACACTAATAGAAAGAGGCAAAAGCTCACATCCCGTTCGACAAGCACTTTCATCAGACTTTACCAATTCTACGGATTTACTAGATTTCTTTGAGGTGCTCCCTTTAGTTGAATGAGGAGTACATCTAGACACTATCACCAAGAGAACAAACATTAATCAACAAACTGAAAAAATTAAAGAAAAGACTTAGGTGTAGGCAGTAATATCCCCTGAACATTTTTATTAAATTAGCACTTGCATCCCCGGAGTATCAGACAACATTACTTTGTTATCATTTTAGAGAGCGGTTTAAATTATTTTCAGTTAAATTGAAAGGAAAGATTAGTTTATCAGCACATGATTCCCCTGAACATCAGATAGTCACTTTGGAAATAAAGCCGTCTAGAGTTCATAAGTGCAGCTGCAAGTGCTAATAAAATGATTTACGCCGTATAAGTGGCTACATCCTCATAGTACATTGGTATATCTGCAATTAACCCTGAAGAAAACAAAATCATGAAGTTCACAAATTGAAGATTTGTTGGAAGGAGCAATAACTCACCTTGACCACTCCTGTACCGTAGTTGGAGATTTTTATTGGATATAAAGCGCCGGACATGAAATGCAGAATTTCCATGCATGCACTCTCCATTCTTCTGCATTTGTGTGTCTTTGGTGAACTTGAAAGGACTAGGAGGTGAATATGAGACTTGCTCTTGTTTTGGGGTAGCTAAATCTCTAGATTTTGGAAGAGGCTGACCTGCAAATGTATGAACTATAAAAGATGCAGCCAAGCAAAGTAACAGAAAACAAACAGAAATCAAAATGCCTTTTGTAGTTTCCGCATCTAGAGTTCAGACTGGGATGAGCTACAAAGATCAAAATGTTCAATATCCACATTTTAGAATAAGCAAAGTCTGATGAGCTGTTAGCAGAAGAAGTAAAATCCAATCATTTCTAAAAATTGTGCTTGTCTTGGACATTCTCGGGATCACAAAGCTGAAGATTTTGTACTGAGATGACACCAAAATGCGTCAAGAGTGTATAATGAGGCAAAGGTAGTTGCCACTGATAATACTCACTAATAAAATCAAGACTTCCATGGATATAAAACGAAAAAGAATATCCGACAACTTTCTCTGCCATTCAGCCTTCTTAAAGCTAGAATGATAGATAAGGTTAGCCCACCTCCTCCGTGTCATCAAACTTCTCACAAGAAACTGAAAAACTCACCAAAGAAAACTTGAAATTACGCACAACTGAAGATATTATAAACCGAAGTGTGCATAATATGGTGTTATCAATGTATAACAAATAAAAATGAAAAGAAAGAGATCGCATTTTTAACCATCAAGCTGAGGACGAATCTCTTCAAAACCAAATAGAGTGCTCCATTATTACACCACAGTTAAAGAGAGCTCAGTTAATAATTAAAAAGCGAAGATGAACCCAAGAAAAACAAAAAATACAAAAAATATAAATGAAAAATGATCCAGCCTTTTCCACTACTCGGGTTCAGGCTCTCAACTTGCACGTAAAAGTGGAAAGTGCTGCAAATTTCCAGGTTAACAGATTTCCAGCCTGAAAACAAAGCCAATCAAGTGTACAAACCACACAAATTTAATAGTTCATCTTTGAACTTGAGAAGCTGGAACTTTTTTTTTTCTTTTCCGTTTTACAATTTGAGGTTCTTTTAATTTTCTTGCGGATGCCAAAGGTCACAGAGGCTATAAGCATCACACTTCAAAATAAAGCAAATTTAAATAATAATAAAAAACGCTTATATGCATCATGACGATAACCATAAATAGAAAAGATTTTCAAAGAAAAAGGGAGGAAAATGATAATCTTTGTATTGCCTGAATTCGATTGATCCCCATAGGATGGAAATTGTTTCTTCTTCCTCTTCTTCAAATTCCCATCAAATTTCCTTTTTGCGAAATGAACCAAAGGCTTATTATCCTCCTCCTCCTCCTCCTCTTCCTCCTTGACCATTTCTTGCTTTGATTGCTCAGTTTCTTCAACATCTTCAATCTCTTCTCCCATGCTTGGTCTCGCAAGGAAAGCCTTCCTTTTCTCGCAAGCAGAGGAATCGAAAACCAAAACTTCAAATCTCAAACTCCCGTTATAACGAAAAATCAATAAATCTCCCATAATCAGAGAGTGATCAACAACAAAATCCTTCCACCCATCTTCAAAAGAGAACCCATCACAATTTTTAACCATATTTACTCCCCAAACGCTCCCGCTTTGGCCCTTCAAGTACACTCTCCTGTTAGACTCAACCTCAATGTGATCTCCAAAGGCCGGAGGAATTCTCTACAAAAATCAAAACCACATCAAAATCAAAACTTTAACTGAAAATTACAATCTAGACCTAAACTTAAGAAAAGCCCTAATAAGAGGTACCAGAGAGTTGGAGGATTGATTGGGCAAAAATATCTTAAAGAAGTAATGAGGCTTGGAGTTCGCCATAAGAAAGAGTAGTGATCAATCGAGCTCTTGATCACTCGATTCTCTTCTCCTCTGCTGGACGTTGAGAATTTTGAGGATAAAACCCAAATTTTGAGGCGAGGTTCGAAGTTCTAAAACCGCAAAACGAGTAGGAATCCTCTCAGAGCCAATCGCAGAATCATACTGAGTTTTGTGTCCTTGATAACGAGACCAGTTCACCCTCGGGAACTTTAGATGCAAGAAATGCATAAAGAAATAGAGGATTGCTTCGGTACTCCGAAATTAGGTATTTTTATAATTTAAAAAATAGTAGATAATTCGAAAACATGCACAAAAATAAAATGGATAGTTTTGTCTTTAGTGTTTAGATTAGATCATTTCGCAATGCAGAAGAGGAGAAATCCTCCCTTCTCTTGCTCACTATTTTGATTAGAAAATAGCATGGAATTTTAATAAAGAAAAAACTAATTTTTCATAGAAAATTCGTGGAATTTTTTTCCCAAAGAAAAGCATTTTTAATGGGAAAAGGTTATTTGCACTTAAATACCCCAAACTTTTCCTCATTTTAAACTTTGGTGCCCAAAGTTCATTTTTGCCCAAAAAATGCTCCAAAATTCAACAAAATTTGCTTTGATACCCCAGATTTAGTTTTGCCAGAAAACCCCATTAATTAAATAAAATATAGCTTTAATGCCTCAGAGTTCACAAAATTTACCTTTGATATCCGAACTTTAATTTCCAGTTAAAGATTGTGATACTAAAATAAAAAAGTTCATGGCTTTGATATCAAAGTAAAAAGTTATTGAATGTTACGGTTCATTTTGGGCAAGAAAAAAAATTACAGGTATCAAAATAATAAATGATTTAAGTTTGGGGTATTTATTGGGCAAGAGAGTACTAAAGTTACAAATTGTGGAAACTGTGGGGTGTTTAATTGTAAATAACCCCAAGAAAAAACCTCAATTTTTGTTAAATATGTGAAGACCTAAACATGCGTGTATCATGATATTCTAACAAACAAATTAGTTCCTACCAACTTGACATTAATTTTATTTCCTAATTTGCCCTTATTTATACTTCCTATTTCTCTTCTTATTTATACTTCCTAAAATAACCTTTTCATCTAAGTGAAATTACTTTTTTGGGTGTGGAACTACTGTCAACTACCTTATCCCTCAAATTTAGGATGTGAGAGAGATTTTTAAGGAAACAAACTACACCAACTGCTTTGGAGCACCGAAGCTGTTGGCAAAAAAAAAAGAGATGGAAATCATTTTAGAGGGAGGCTAGAAGTAGGGGTGTCCAAAAAGCCCGCCGGCCCGGGCCTGGCCCATGTCGGGGGTGGGGGGAGGGGGAGGTTGTTTTTGACGGTGAAAATTACAATTAGTGTTGTTAGGTGGTTTTCTAATGAAAGTTATAAATTTAAAGGGTTTTTGTGACAACCCCTAACTTAAGGGGGTATTTTGATATGTAGAAATATTCAGGGTTATTGTAATTAAAGTTAAGGAGAGTTTTCTAATAGGAAAAAAAAATTGTGTCAATGCCCCAAAATTTCAAAACCCATGTGCCTAAGCCTTTGCATATATGGGTCATGTGAATAGGGGTGAGCATAGTTCAATGCAAACTGATTAAACCAATTGAAACTAACTAAAAGTTGACTATTGAGTTCAATTTTAGAAAATCTTCTTTTCATTTCAGTTCTTAGATATTTAAAACCGAAATAACCAAGCCGACCGCTCTTAGCATAATTGCCTAAGACTTATGCTTGTTCAAGGTGAATAGATTATCTATACTAATAGTTTTATACATCATAATTAATAAATATTTGGTTTGAGTTTGTAAAGTCATTTACGTGACTAGTTTCATCTTCAATTTGGGATATGAGATGAGTGAATGGTTTAAAGGAATAGTCGTTTTGTTTTTTTGTTTTTTTTTTTTTTGGTATTTATTGAATTTAAGGAGAGCGTTTAGATTTTTTTCTAGGAGCCTGCTTTCAATATTTTATTTTTAGAGAGCTATTTGTAAGTTTTTTTTCATATGACTGTTTATAACTTTAATATTTTCTTAGGAGTTTTCCTAATTTTCAAACTTTTTGGGGGGGGCTTTGTAATTTCAAATTGTGCTGGGAAAAAAAATGAAAATTTTAGATTTTCAAAGTAGTTTTTTATAATTTTTTATTTTGACATGTTTTTTCTATTTTTAAAGACTTTTTGGAGGTATTTGTTATTTTTGAAAAATTAGTGGTTAGATTATTCAGAGGGCTAATCAAAGATTTTTTATTTTCACTTTTCCAGGGTGTTTTCTGCAACTTAAGATTTTTAAAAAGCTTGTTTTTTAATTTTCAAAATTTTAGTTTGCTATACGTAATTACAAATTGTTCATAGAACTGTTCAAATTTTTTTTTAATTTTCAAGGTATTTGTGTGTAATTTTTAGAGTGTTTAGGGTATTTTTTATAATTTTTAGATTTTTAAGGTGATTGTTTGTATTTTTGAATTTTTTTAAGGTATTGTCTATAATTTCAAGTTGTATAGGGAACTATTCAAAATTCTCATATTTTTTGCATGAGTTTTGTAATTTTTTAAAATTTTTGGTGAGGATCATGTAAACTCTTATTTATTGGTTTTGTAGAGCATACATCTTTCCGTCTCCCACTTGTGCTCAAAACCAATTTGATATAAATTTTAAATCCATCTTACACTAGTGGAAAAATAGGTTTCACTAACGACAACATCGTTGACGGGACATAGTCGTCAGCGATGTTTATATCACTGACAGGACAAACCGTCAGAAATGTTACCGTCAGAAATGTTACCGTCAGCAATGTTTTCGATACCATCAGGGATAAAACATTGCTGACGAGAAATGAACATCGCTGACGGGTAGCCCGTCAGCGATGTTGGATATATATTCTTTTTACAACCCCGATTTTTTTACCACACAGTAAAACCCTAAACCGCCGTTGCCGCTACCCCCTTCGCGTCCTTTGGCCGCCGCCTCCGCCGTCGCTGTCTCCAGCAAGTCACCGGCCTGAGTTCATCATCGCAGCCGCTTGAGTTCATCATCGCCGACGTCGTTGCCGCTGTCTCCAGCATTCGCTTCGCGTCCTTTGGCCGCTGTCACCACCGCTGCGTCCAGCGCCGCTATGACTTCGTCGCTGCAGTCACTCAAGGTATTATTTGTTACTTAGATCATTACAATTTCTATTAGGTTCCTCAATCCATAAGTTATTTGAAATTAGTTCCTCAAATCATTGAAATTACTATTAAATCTGTCAATTCTTAAGTTATTTTGAATTTGCCCCTTCAATCAAGAGTAAAGTAGTAATTAGAGGGAAACTGGTTCCTCAAATGATCATCTAAATTTTTGTTAGATCCTCTAGTTCTCATAAGTTTATTTCAAATTAAGCTTTTTAATTCCTAATTCTATTATTGATTTGAGGGACTAGTTTGAAACTAGCTTCAAAATTGAGGGATCGACCTAATAGCAATTTTAATCTTTTAAAACACTAGTTTTAAAATATTAAAAATTTTAAGGGACTAATATTGCAAAAGCCTATTTTGTTTTGTACCCCCAATTAGTTATCTAATGATTTCAAATTTGATTGCAAAGACCATCTTTTATGTCCTACATCCAGCTGTCTAAACATTGGGAACTGACAGCAATTCACGAATAACTTTTGTTGTTTGAAGAAAAAAGGATTAATTTCGTAGAACAAGAGAGAAATTAAAACTGCCATCAGTTTCCTGTAGCAGAGTTTGAGAAGTTTCACTGCTATGGTCTTAATTATTAATCAGTCCACCTTCGGAGAAAGATCCAACATGGTAGAATGTATCAAATGGTTTTTAGTTCATGACATTAATGTGCACACAATGATAATAATATTACGTGACTCTAGTCTATCATCCTAACTAAACTAACTTTAGTTTATTATCTTTTTAATATAATTTAAAGTAAACTGGCCGATTTTATCCTTAAATAATACTAATGCAATCATGATTATATTACCATAGATCTAATATTCTAATTAAACATTGATTGTTATGATAAAAGATTCTGCTGTAATTGATGCATTCAATTTAGTTAGATATATCGAGATTGTATTGTTATATATCATTATTTTATGAATCGGAAGTCGTTACCCCTAGTTTCCCGTCTAATAATGTTGGATGTGAATCTCTTTTGATATAAACTCCCTTAATTCTAGTTGGATGTGAAAATACTTTTTACATCTAAAGAGAATAACGTGATTTATGTTAGGAGTATGATCTATATGCAATAATTATTAGATCTGTCCGGGGAGGAGTCCCCTTCTCGTACAGGTTATGAATACAGTAGTGTATCGTCTATCTTTGTATACTTTATGCATTTTTATTCCTTAAAAATTTCGATAACACGTACCGCATTGTTCTCCGTGTACAATAAGCGTATGTTGTTTTGTGTATCGATCTATAATCGATCTATTATTGATGATTGATACGCGTTATAACATCTGTACAATATACTCGGAGAACAGCGGGTAGGTGTTGCCGAAATTTTTAAGAAATAAAAATGCATAAAGTATATAAAGGTAGTTGTAGACACTACTATATTCCTAATAGGATAGGTCCATTTCCTATGACAGCTGTTAAAGTGTCTTATTGAAAATATGAGCGTTAGATTTTACTCCCACATAATTTATATTCTGGCAATTTTCCCTCCAAGATTATTATAATTTGAATTTCCTTCATGTCGTGAAAAAAGTTAATATCACGCAATCGTTAATTTGATGCATTACTAATGAAAATTCACATTATCTAATTATGCTTAATTTCATTAATGAATAATATTATATATATATCATACAGATGAGGATAGTTCCCGATAAATCATGGATCGATATTCCTCGTATTGGTAGATGGAGGGATAGTCGATATAAAGATGGAATAAATCAATTCATACAGTACGCCTTGGCAGACCCACGGAAGTTAAATAGTGATGTCGTGTATTATCCTTGCTGTTGGTGTAAAAATAGGACGTTGGTGGATAAAAGTGATTTACAGAAACACTTAATATCAGGATTTTATGAGGAGTACAAATATTGGACGTTTCATGGGAAAGGATGTCTTGAATAAATGGAATTGATGGTGGACATCGGTACGTCCGATGGGAAAATAGATAATACAAGGATAGATGATACACATATGATGCTTGCTAATATGTTAACAGTTCCTAATATAGATAAAATTGAAGATGCTGAGGATGCTAAAGTTACAGGAAATG